CGGGTTCGATTCCCGGCGGTGTCCGAATTTATAACTTGTGTTGGGCAAGTCCGTGGTCTAGGCAACACGGAGTTTTCCTCCGTGGCATCCCAACAATTACTCCATTCACACACAGAAGAAGGCAATGGCAAACCACTTCTGGATCATCTGCCAAGAACGTATATGAACAGGTCCCAGTCCGAGAAGAGGATGGAAGGATCCTGTTCATATGGACCTGTCGTCAGACAGAACACTAAGTAAATAATAAAAGTTCTATTACAGTGGTCATTGTACAATTAATTTATAAATTTCTGTAGGTCGTACAAAATTTGTGTAATTGCATTAAATGTCAATTATTTTACGTTCGATTGAAAACAGAACAATGAAAAAAGAATACAGAGTAACATTTACATCTCCTGGAACAAAATTAATGAGATGTAAACATACATGGATGAATTAAATAATAAATAAGACAAATTAAAATAATTTAGAACTGAACCAACTTGTAATAAGAATGCAAAGAGACAGATCTAGCCAACAGGTGACCTAATTCCTTGACTACTGGATGGTGATGATGATGATGATGTATTTATTTATTTATCCTTAAACTTCCACATTTTTGTAAGTGTACCTGTATGAATGTGTTCGTCCGAATTTTGGCGCCGTGTAGATCCGTCCAAATTTGCCAACGTCACCAGACCAGAACTTGAGGTCGATTTCAGAATTATCTTCATAAAAGTTTAATATCTTTTCGAAAGTATTTGTTGCCCAAATAAACTTTCAGGAACATACACAGACGGTTTTAACGCCACTTCCACAAGAAAATTTCTCTCACATCCGCCATATCGGAACTTTTGAAGACAGGAAATTTAGAGATGTCTGCTTGCCGCTTGTTGTCTGGTATAGATTTACCGATGTTTCGGAGGTGCTTATTACCTCTATCATCAGGGATCGGAAGTCAGGTTAGGTTAGGTTTTGTGTTGGTGCGTTTAACAGGAATATCTCTTCAGTCCCCATGAACACGATTTCACACTTCGTAAAGATTTTTTTAAAAATAAATTTTATACATTCGATGCGATTTGAGAAAATTCGAGTACTGTTCAGTACAAGAGAGTTTATTCCCCCTGAACACGCTAATTTTTAAATACTATTCAGACGAACTTTGGATTTACAGGTTTATATGACATGTCCAGTCCTAATAGAGCCTTGTTGAGTTAGATCTTACAGTAGAATCACGTCAGGTAACAGCCCGGGTCGTTATGTAAGCAATCAATTGACAATGAATGACCCTTCGACAGAGAATATAGATTTTTCATGGTTAATGACGTATGCACCAGGGCGTTCCCGCGTGCCATTCAAGTTTTTTGTCATTTATGACGTCACACGCGTTTCTTTGACACGTAGTCTTGACGTCACTTCAGAATGGTAATTCAGATGCAACGTGCGTTATGAACGCTAAGCGCCTGCAATACCAAATAAGAACGTAATTTATGGACGAGTGGAAGAAATTTTACGTTTTGTCGGGGGCTAACGACTTCCCGCTTTACATTACGTTTGTTACACAGGAATCAGCAGACTAAATTCAGAGAATGCTTGCAACCATGCATACAGAATATTTCGTCTTCCGGTATCCTATCTAAGAAAGTAAGGTAAAGTTTGTCCCACTATACGCCATGTAGGCGCTTGGGGGGAGTGGAGGTATAGCTTCTCTCTTCCTTGACCTCGGCACTAGATGGGAGGTGAGTGGTTAGCATCACGCCCCGGCCGGCTTTACCCCCGGGAAAGGACCCCGGTACCCATTGTAGAGGAGGCTGGGTGGGCCCCAGAGCCGGTCTGGACGCAGAGGCTAGAGGAAAAATCCTCTGCCCCCGTCGGGGATCGAACCCCGGTCGTCCAGCCCGTATCTAGTCACTATACTGACTGAGCTATCCCGGCTCATCTCCTATCTAAGAACATAAAGATTAAAATATACAGGAGAAATAATGTTTTACCTTCTGTTTTGTATGGACGGTTCTTATAATGAATTATCTTGTACGTAGGATATAAGTACTGGTAACGTTAATGTTTTAATAAAAGTACACAGTTTTATAAGTTTTCATATGATCGCAGTTGGTAATATTGTCCTTCTGGGTTGTGAAATCATGCAGATTTGTAGGTATATACCATCATCAGCTCCAAAGATGGTTTCAGAGTTAAACAAACATTGTCATCGCTCTGAAACGATGGTATCTGTCTGCGTGTATACAAAATATTATAACCCAGAATAACATTGCCGTCTTCACCAGTAAGAGAACGTCAAATCTTACATCAATTACACTTTATTGCAGGTCAGGGGTGGCAGTGGTTTAGGAAAGGACGTTCTTCATGACGAGGGATGCCGATGGTCTCTGAGAAAGCAGAAACTTCCACCTCTGCTCTATGAACCACCTATCAAAGGTAAGTGTGACATCATACGTCTCTCACCATTACAGTTCTGCCCCTAAGATGGCTGTCTTCTGGGTCGTAGTGTCGTGTGTTCTGGTAGACCTCTGAAACGTCGGTAAACTTCTACCACATTACATGGCTCTACCACCCAGAAGACCGCCATCTTAGGACTCATTGCCATGAGATACGCAAATCCCTCTTAATTACGCTCCACTTTGATCACATGACTTGCTAAATATTGTGAAATAGAACTGGAAAGTTACTTTAGACTTAAATTTGTTCGTGTGTTCTATTCTAAAGTTTGTTTGTAAGACAAATACCTGTAGTCAGTTGACAAAAACAAAAGTAGTAACTGACAAAGTAATTGTTTGGTAGAAACAACGTAGTTGTGAAAAAAAAAATAGTTTCTTAGGTTATGAATAACAAAAACATTGGATGTTAAAAATAGTAGTTCAGGTTTCTTTCAAGTCGGACAGTGGATGCCCACATTTACGTAATGACTGGCCACGAGATAGAAATTAAATTATTGTGAGCCCTGAAATTTTTCCGTCATTTTACAATATTAAAGTAGGCCTACGTTACAAAATGACAGCCATTTGAGATATTGCAAAATGTTGTCTTGTGGAAGTTGACTGACATTTCAATAGTGCATACTACCTCCATCATCAGGGTGACGATTCATAATTAGGAATCCTACTTCATATTGCTGCGGTCCTGGGTTCAAAACTCGGTACAGATGACGTCTTTTCTGTCTTGAGATCCTTGTGATGTGTATTTGGTCCCTCCAGTCTCCCAAGTGCCAGAATGGTACCTTAAATTAGGTCGTGACTGATTACTTCTGTGTCATTTATTTTTTATGTAATTCTGGGAAATTTTCAGATGTTTATGTTCAGGTCATATTACTAATAGTACAGTGAAGAGAGACTTTTAGCAAGTATTATTAAAGTTGCTTGGGTGGCGAGGAATAAATTCTGCAGAAGATAGCAAAGTGAACGTTTAAATGAACGTTCACTGGAAATCGTAACAGAAATAAGACCCATACTAAACGGTCAAAATGACAACTGATGGGTTACTCATTAGTAAAATAAAATCTGGATAAAGAATTAAGTTGTACAATATAATAATAGCATACGGGAAACTGGTAGTGCAGATAATTAACAGTAGGTAAATACGGTGATCTAGCGGTTAGAACGCTGGCCTTGTAATCCTGGGGTCTCGGGTTCGATTCCCGGCGGTGCCCGAATTTATAACTTGTGTTGGGCAAGGCCGTGGTCTAGGCAACACGGAGTTTTCCTCCGTGGCATCCCAACAATTACTCCATTCACACACAGAAGAAGGCAATGGCAAACCACTTCTGGATCATCTGCCAAGAACGTATATGAACAGGTCCCAGTCCGAGAAAAGGATGGAAGGATCCTGTTCATATGGACCTGTCCTCAGACAGAACACTAAATAAATAAAATAAATACCGTTATAATAATCTACTTGCAGGAAATTGATTCTTGATAACAAATGGAACTTATTGTTATTGTTTATGCTCTTGCTATTATTATAATTCTATTGTTATTGATATTAATTTATAATAATATAATCGTTTCTGTTATAGCTCTACTGGTTGTTGTAGTTATTTATTGTTCACTGCTAGATGGCTCTGGCAGTCAAATTAGGAGTCAGTAGAAATTGTGCAGAGTCAGTGGGCTGGTCACTCACTACTCATAAATGCATGCTTTAAAGACTATGAAACCTCCGAAAGGAGGCAGCTACTGGGTTAAGCTACAAATAGAAATACCCTTAGGAATGCTGAATTAAGACAGGCTGGAAAGCTGGGTGAAATTTATTCTGCACAGTTGACGTATATAAATTCTGAATATAAATATAGGACACTGTAGAATTATTTGTAACGCAAGCAACTTAACTATCAGATTTTTACTCTTTAAATTTTAAATTTCGAGCGCTGTCGTTGTTTTCATTGCGTGTCAAAGCATTTGCAGTGATTGTGAGTACATTATATTCAGCTCCTTTTTAAATACCGTTGTACCATTGATGGTCTATATGATTTTGTTCCTGTAATTGTGGCTACTTAGGTAGTATCTCTCAAAAAATAACATCTTCGTATAGATACCCTGTATGAATGTAACATTGTTTGTTTTCTATAAAATGTTAATACAGCGTTCATATAACGAACGTCTTAGAATAAGTTTTATAAATTCACTTTCATTAATTCGTATAAATTGTGTTTGCATTGCTTGAGAATAACAAGTTTTACGTACATATATCACATAAGATTATATAGGTTATAAATTAACATCCTGACAAACTGATGGAATCACAGAGTTCGTCACATTGCACATTTTGTAATTTTGTGTTGTTTTCACTTTTGGACGACATTAAGTTCCTGCTCATAGTACACGTTTATCGCAATCGAGTATTCTCTTCCCAAACCGGTGTTAGCATTCTTCCTTGTCAAAATAAGACACAGAAAAGTGGAGGGGTAACTTCTTTATGAACAACTTTGGGGGCAAAGGTCATTCAAATTG